CTGCTTAGATTTTCTTCAACAGTATCTTTTCTGATAGCCAAGTGAATGTAGTTGGTACTTTGGGGGAGGGGGGGGGGTCAAGAGTAAAAAATGTCTAATAGTTTTCAAAAGCGCAGAGAAAAACAAAATATAAATTTAGAAAAACGAGTATTTTTACACAAAATCGGTTTTCAACAAAGCATGCATTAAACGGAATTTTCGCACATTGCCTACCAAGGTGACACTGACAAAGTGCCGCTCAGATTCGCTTGTAACATACTATAAAACAGAGCAACATCCACTTACACACATTTTTTAAATTTTAGATATAAAAATAAATGTTTTATGAATTTCTTATTAAAAATAATATGCAAATTGTCGTGACTACCTAAAAAAACAATACCTAGGTATCAATTTTGTCGAAAACTGGTAGGAAATTCCCGTTTTCCATTAATTTTTCTTCTGTTAGGTACACGATTGTTATTAATAAAAGTACTGGGAATTTTCAATTTTTACCTATTAAAAGTACCACCTTGCTCCACTCAGATTCAAAAATGTTGGTAATAACTTCGACTTACAAAAAAAGGATCACACATTCATGATTCATACATTATATATATATTCTTACTAAATCAAGATAATATATATACAAGATAATTAATGAATGTAGTAATAAATTAATTTAAAAAGTAGGTAAGTACCTCAAGGCTCAAAGCCGTATTTAAGGGGTGGTTGGGGGGGTAATAGCCCTCCTGGGCTTATATTAGGAGGTGACAATATTTTTACGTAATATGTAGGTACCTATTTAAATATTCAACTCTGCAAAATAGCATTGTTACACCGAGTTATTATTAGATCAATCTATTATCTATATTATATTATATAATGGAAGCCTATTTTTTATTTTGTTGTATGTAATATTTAGTTTGAATATTAGTTTTTACTTACCTACCTATCACAATATTGGCTGGATCTCGGGGAACGTTTTAAATGTTTTCATGTATAAATGTATAATACGATTAATAACTATGTCTTAGAAAAATGACAAAAGCAATAAAATTGTAAAAATAATCTAAATGACTAGGTATATCTATAATATATAAATAAAAATGAAATATTGTTCGTTTGTAATCGCACCTCTTGAGAAAAGCTGGATCGATTTGGCTCATTATTTAAAAAAATGTACGTAATAGTCCAACATTTGGACACTATTTAATAGTGTTTTTACGGAAAGAAAAATTTAAAATAAAATTAATGGGAAATTGGACATTTTGGGAAAAACTAAAAGTGCCTTTTTTACTGACTGACTGATCAACGTAGAGCCTAAACTATGATAGCTGGAGACTTAAAATGTTTTTGTTACCTTCATACCACCACGTAGGTGTGCACTAAGAAAGAATTTTCCGTATAGAATTTTACGGATTTAAAAATTTTATATACCAGATTTGTACTGTCCAGATTTTTGCGATCCAGTTTTGTACCATCCAGATTTTTACGGATTTCATAATTTTATATTCCAGATTTGTACCGTCCAAGTTCTTACGTTCCAGAATTGTACCGTCCAGATTTGAAACATCCAGGTTTTTACATTCCAGGTTTATACATGATGTTGTACAATTGTACAAAGTATTGAACTTTTATATCTAACAATATAATTATATATAATATATGTAACGTCGTAACGATATAATACGACGTAATTATGAAAATGGACTGTCGCCTTCCTCCAGAACCTGTAATAACGAGGTGGGGAACATGTGGGTTAGAAGCTGCTTTGTTTTAGTCTGAAAATTTCAGTAAATTTAAAGAATACCTAGGTATCTAATATAGAACCAAATATGATATGACGCCCAATCTGTCAAAAAAGTAAAATCCATTTTGAATACCACATCAATTATATCTGATTTAACACTTATTTGTTTACTTTTGTCCGAGTTGCCAAATTCAATTATTGCAAAACTTAAAAAACAAAATTCTACTTTAGATTATATAATAAATGTACCTAGTTGAAACAGTAAGAGATGGAACTAAGACAATTTAGAATGAAAAGGGACAAAATATACTGTGTGAATGATTCAAATCAGTATTTGATAAAAATCTCGGATACAATATTTTAAAAGTATAGGTACAACGATACGGAAATGAGTAATGGCGTAGATTTAAAAGAAGATCCTGCTATTATAAGTTGCTACAAACAATGCCCGATAACAAGTGTTGACTAAGAACGTGTGTTTTCGCAGTTAAAACACATATTAAGTGACAGAAGACATCATTTTAAAGAAAGCACTTGGAAATGTACATGATTATAAATTTTAATCAAATATTGTAAAGTCAGTTGTATACGTCATATTGTCAGTTTAATATTATTTTATCAATAAATAGTAATAAATAATAATATAAAAAAAATAATATTAAAATTAAAAGTTGAAGTATCTATAATGAAAATTTTGTTTTTGCACGGTTTTTAGATTTCAGCTGCACAAAAATCCGGTCTTTAATAATGATTATTGATGTCCCAATAATTGCGCTGTAGGAGTAGGTATAGAGTATAGACTTATTTTTTATTCACTCTGTACTTTGTCTACTCTGTAGTCTGTACTACTGAGGTTCTCTTGTGAGTGTTAGTATACTGTTGTTAAAACATCCATTTTATTTATATTAGCTACATATTAAAACAAATAACGCAATCATGAGTAGAACAATTTCTAACAAAGTACTGAAAAGGCAAAGGTGAGCATTAACTTGTTAAAAAGTTAAAGTTAAGTTAAAAAGTAAATTTTTTTACTTTTTAACTTAACTAGTTAATTATTTTTGTTTTCAGCTTATTAAATTATTCAGTTAAAATGTCCAATGTAATTATATAAAATAATTAGGTGTTAGGTATATAGAATACCATTTATACCAATATAAAATATTAATAAAATAATAAATTATAATTTTCTGGTAACGATGTTGAAAAAAATTAAGTAGTAAATTACTTACTGGATTGTTGGAAAATGTTGGGTAAAATAACTTATTTATTCTAAATAACGATGAACTCAAAAACTGGGTAACGTTTTAATTGTAAATAACGTAAAACGGAATTTTTTTTTCAAATGTAAGCCCTGTTTGGTAGGTCTAATTTATATCAATAGTCTATAGATGCAATTAAAAATTAGATTGGCATTCTTTGATTGTTGGTTTATATTTTATATAATAGTTAGTTAAAACATTTAGAATGTCAATTATAACAAGTAAATAGGTGGAAAGGCAACTAATTATACTTCATGAGTTAGTATTTAACAATGAAATTACAGCTACTTTAATTACCAAAACTATTAGATTTATGTAATGTTTTATCAAGAAAAATGTGTACAGATATTCAATAATAATTCATCAGAGTTATTCCATATAAATTGGTATTATAAGGATTGTTTTATATGCCTGCATATTTCCATACAATTTCCAGCTGAATGAAACAATAAACCTACACCAGTCAATGATGGTCCACATAGTATCTTTCAGTAAACAAATGATACAATATGTTCTTTCCAAAGTACAATAAATTGAAAGATTTTAGTATAAAATATAAGAAGCTACAAAATTATGTTTTTCTATGGTAGGCCTAATTTTTATCAAAAGTATTTAGATTGGTATTCTTTGAGGATTGGATTATATTTTATTTAATAATTAAGTAAAAAATTTAGAATGTCAAGTCTAACAAGTAAATGGTCTCTGTGGTTCAAGTCAATATAAGATTTGGCATGTAGCATGTTTAAGTCTGAAAACTGATGAACACATAATACCTATGTGTTTAATATACCCTTTATGGCTAACAGCTTTGCAGTTGATGCCATAAACAAAAATATATATTTCCTTATTGAATTATGGTATATTCCCATAGTCAATACCGTTTTCATATAATAGATTTGTATTATCTGTTATGAACTTGTTTAACCAAAAATTTTGATAAATATTGAAATAAATATACGTAATTTATTATTTTATTCGGTATTTTTCCATATTTTAAGTGGGTAGACATTGTCTCATAGCCTCTAATGAGTTATGACTAAAGACCGGATTTAATTGATATTGCAACTTTTTTTGTAGTTAAGATAAATCAAATCTGATCAAATATGTACACGATTTGTATTAATTACTGTCTTTCTGTTTAATTTTATGTTGCAATTTATTGCAATTTTTAATGTTTTTGCAATTTTTTTCAATTTTGTATATTTCACGTAATCAAATGTACAAATCAATAATTCTTAACTAATTTTATAATATAAAAATAATAACATTATTGTGGATTTTTATTATTGGTTTGATTAATATGATCTTAGAAGTATAAAGGAGTATTATCTATGTTATTTATCGCTCGTCTGGAATTTTCTATCTCAAATTACTGTGACTAGCGATAATAACGACTACGAAAGCTATAAGCGTCGTGTGCGTTTACCCGTTGATACGTACCTATTTCTTTGATCAGTTTGACCGCACAAACCGACCGTGAACGTATTCGTCGAAATGCCTAAAATAAAATCAAGTTTAAAAAGTAAAATATCGAATTGGATTGCTCCTTATAATGAAAATAAAGAAGTATTTTCATCAGATGGAAAGATTATATATTGTCTCGTATGTGAAAAGTCTGTCTACTGAAAAAAAATATCTATTAGATCATCATTCCAAAACAAGTAAGTTTTGTATTTTATACTCATACTACACGTAATAGTGTAGTACACGTAACTCCATGTTATTTTATATCAAAAATACATGTATATTTATTTTAGTTCTACACATAAATGCATTACAAAGGAATAAAGAAAGAAAACAGCAGATTTTCATTACTTCTCAAATCTCGAATAGTAGAAATGTATTTTTTGAAGATTTATGTAATGCATTTGTTGCTGCAAATATTCCTTTGCATAAGCTGAGCAATCATGTGTTAAAATCATTTTTGGAAAAGCATACTGGCAAATCAATTCCAGATGAAAGTAGGTACTTTAAGAAAAAATTACATACCAAATATTTATAAAAGCGTAATGGACCAAATAATTAGCGATATTGGAAATAATTACGTTTACATAATTGTTGACGAGACAACTGATCCAAGAGGTTTGTATAAATATTTTTTTTTTAATTTCTCATATAATAAAACATACTATTTTCGTTTAGGTTTGTCTATTGCAAATTTATTAATTGGTAAATTAGATGGGACGCCTAGTAAATCATATTTAGTTGCATGTAAAGAATTAGAATCCACCAATTATGAAACTATTTGTCAGTTTATTAATTCCTCGTTAAAAATATTTCCTGATATTGAACAAAAAGTATTACTTTTGATTAGCGATGCTGGTACTTATATGATCAAAGCAGCAAAAACATTAAAAATATTTTTTCCAAAATTAATTCATATCACATGTATGGCACACGCAGTTAATAGAGTTCTAGAGAAAATTCGAGAATTGTATCCTGATATAAATAAATAAATTAACAATGGTAATGTGTTAAGTACTTATTTAAAATTTAAATACATTTGTAACTTATTTTGTTTATTTTAGGAAAAAAAGCTTTCCTAAAAGCACCATCGAGAATAAATAAATACAGAAAAGAAATGCCGGGTATACCTTTACCACCCGAACCTATTATTACAAGATGGGGAACATGGTTAAACGCTGCACTTTTCTATGCAAATAATTTTGAAAAGTTTAAAAACGTGATTGAAAGTTTAACAGATGATGCTTTAAGTGTCGAAAAGCTGAAACTGCTTGTACAAGATAATGCAGTCAAATGTGGTTTAGCATTCATAAAATTACACTTATCTGAGTTATGCACAAATCTCAAAAATTTGGAAGAATCTAATAGTGAACTACTGAAAAGTATGGATAATTTTAGAAAAATTGAAGATATTTTAACAAATATTCCTGGTCCAGAAGGGGAAAAAATTAAGGAAAAATGTATGTATGTAATTAAAAAAAATGAAGGGTATAAAACTTTAAAGTGTTACTATGAAGTCATGTCAGGTAAAGCAAATGTTAATTTAGATAAACGCCTACTTTATTAAATTTTTTTAAATATGCACCAATAACGAGTGTTGACGTAGAACGTAGTTTCTCGTTGTACAAACATATTTTGAGTAATAGAAGATTTAATTTTAATGAAAATAATTTAGAAATGTATTTAATCATTAATTTTAATTCAAAAATGTAAAATTAATATTAAATGTAATTAATGTAATATTAATTAATGAATATATAAATACGACTTGCATTTTTATAGTGCAATTTATTTTGCAATTTTTATGGGATTTTTGGTGCAATTATACAATTTTATTATGCAATTAAATCCGGTCTTTAGTTATGACTTAAGATGCTTTGCTACTATCGAGATCAATGTGCAGCCCTGCAGAACAGACCGTTTCAATGTTATACAAATATATTAATTAAAAGGTTATTGCATACACTTTGGTTGAACTGTTAAACATATAAATCATAGTTGTTAATAATAAAAAAAACAAACCATTCAAAATAATTATAGTAATAAAAATAATATTAATCAAATGTTTTTAATTCATTTAAGAGTATGTCGTACCCACATGTGTTGTCTCTGTCTTACACACCAAATTTTTGTTTACCAGTTTCAATAGTGTGCTGTTAGTTTTTATATTACAGTGAATTTAAAGTTAAGATTATTACCTAGGGAACGACGTAGGCTTTTATTGATACTATTATTTTTAAGTATTTTATGATAATTTTAAAATGTAGTTTCAAAAAGGTCATAACTTCCTTAAAAATAATAATATCAATAAAAACCTATGTCGTACCATAGATAATCTTAATAATCTTACCAAATTGGTCAACTCACTCAAATATCAAAACTAACAGCACATTATTGAAACTGGTGAACGAAAATGTGTTATGTAGTGAGTATATAAGAAGGAAAAAACACATGCGGGTACGACTTCCTCTAACATAACCATTGATTATAAACCCTAGTATTTATAATCAATGATAATACTTTTTTAATTTTATAAAAGTTTTTCAAAATACTTTTGTTATATAATTTTAACTTGTTACAATATAACATTTTGTTGTTTATGCTATAGCTTCATAAGTTACTTAGGTGAATAATATTTTATACTTTTGAATAAATTTAGTCGATAATATAAATTATTTTCACTATTTTGTAGCAGCAGTTAATATTGAACAATGTTCATAATCTTCATAAACATATTTTTGATGTTTGAATGTACACCGGTATTGCACATCACTAAGTCATATATTTTTAAGGAATGTAACTCAATAGTTAGTATGGTGGGTAGGTAATAGGTATTGAAAGATGAATGAAAAATAATCAAAAAACTAAGTTTTATCTTTAAACTGTCAGATTATACTTAAAAATCAAGAATCATAAATACATATTATAATCAAAAAAATACTTTTAGTTTGAATAGTAAAGTATACATTATAATAAATTAATAACTATAGAGAATACCTAATAATGATAAAAAAAAACTAAATTTTCTTCTTGAAACTAGCTCACTACACTTAAAAATTGCATTTCTTTTGCAACAAAGATTAACTTTAAATGTTTGTGTTGAATTATTTTTTGTTTGTTTGCAAAATTAAAAAATTGTAATAGTTTAAATAGTAACATTATATAAACATGTTATAATAATAACTATTCAGACAATATTTTGTAAAAAAAGGAAAAATTATCAAATTAATTAACTTTTTTAAATTAAAATAACAGACCTACTTAATAATTAAGAAATTAAAATTTAGTTACAAAATACTTATAGTTTGAATTGAAAAGTATACATTTTAATAATTATAATTAATATGCAAAAAAAGATGAATGAAAAATAATCAAAAAACTAAGTTTTATCTTTAAACTGACCGATTATACTTAAAGATCAAGGAATCAAAAATTTATATAATCAAAAAAATACTTTTAGTTTGAATAGTTAAGTATACATTATAATAAATTAATAACTATAGAGGATACCTAATAATAATAAACAAAAAAACTAAGTTTTCTTCTTGAAACTAGCTCACTACACTTAAAAATTGCATTTCTTTTGCAACAAAGATTAACTTTAAATGTTTGTGTTGAGTTATTTTTTGTTTGTTTGCAAAATTAAAAAATTGTAATAGTTTATATAGTAACATTATATAAACATGTTATAATAATAACTATTCAGACAATATTTTGTAAAAAAGGAAAAATTATCAAAATAATTAACTTTTTTAAATTAAAATAACAGACCTACTTAATAATTAAGAAATTAAAATTTAGTTACAAAATACTTATAGTTTGAATTGAAAAGTATACATTTTAATAACTATAATTAATATGCAAAAAAAGATGAATGAAAAATAATCAAAAAACTAAGTTTTACCTTTAAACTGTCAGATTATACTTAAAAATCAAGGAATCAAAAATATATATAATCAAAATAATACTTTTAGTTTGAATAGTAAAGTAAAGTAACATTATTATAAATTAATAAATATAGAAAATCATGATAAATAAAAAAAGACAAGTTTTCTTCTTGAAACTAGTAGACTATATAAAAAAAAGTTCTTTTGCAACAAGGATTAACTTGTTTATATTGAATTCTTTTTACCTTGTTCACGAAATTTCGCTCCAGCTAGGTAATGTTTAATTGGAGTTTCAATTTCAAAATCAGTTGCTTTTTCAAATTTTGTAATTTTTCGAATTGATTCTGAAAAATGAAGTCTTATTATTTGTTTTATGCAAAATGCTATGGCAAAGTATGGAAGTCTACATTATTGGTTAAAAAATGAAGCAAAAATATTGAATAATATATAACCTACTGATAAATAATTGTACTATATATTTAAAATATTAATACAATTACAACATTGTTGCTAAAATCAGTATATATTTGAGGGAAATTAACTATAAATCTTATGTATAATATTAAATAAAAATACGGAAACAGGCACCTCGCAATCACAAAGGGAGACTACTGCCGATTTGCACAATTTGATTACAGTAAATTAGTTATTAAGTACCTATAATAGTAGAAAGAATAATAATTTATGTTTACCAAAAATAACTTTATTCGCATTTAAACTTTGGAATGGTTTCTTTTTGTTTTTTCCAATATAAGAATATGTAGATAATAATGTGTTGTGGAATAGTTTTGATAACATTCGTCTTAGAGTATTATTGACAGTATCTCTCGCAAGTATTGTTAATTCATTAACCTGTAACCATAATTATTTATTATTTATTTTACAAATAACTATTTTATTCTCAGAAAAATTCACTGACACAATTTCGTGGCCACTAATAATACTTTCTATAAATAAAAAGTAAAAATTTGAGCTCATAAATAGGTATTACAAAATATATATACTAACTAGTCTCAGTTTATAAGGTAATTCAGTTAATTTAAGCTCAAATTCTTGAAGTTCTTCTTCAGTTTTTATAGGAAAATTATAAGTTGTTAATTCAGAAACATAAGAAACTGGCATCATGTTGTTTTTAGAATTGTTACTTATTTCCATTTGATTATTTTCAATAATATTAAGTTTTAAAGATAAATTATGTATGCTGTGTTTCATATCCATAACTATCCTTAACATTTTGTTCTGAGTTTCTGAAACAATATTTTTTGTATTATAATTTAGATTTATAAATGCAATGCATAATAAGTGAAACAATTTAAGAAAAAAATAAATAATAAGCTATTATAATTAATGTATAAGGTATGTATAAATGTATATTATACTCGTCATATACCTAATATAGTAGTAATTGCTGCATTATTCTTATTATTTATGACATCAACCACAGGAGCAGACATGGTTTGTTTTGGTTCAATCAATCTTTGACTGGCATCATATAACACACCTAGAAATAAATCCAAATTTTATTTAAAAAATAAAATACTGGAAAACAATAGTTCTTTACTTGATACGTCTGAATGAGGTGAACCTAGTTGCACATTAATATCTTGTTTTTCAAATTGTGAAGATGAAATGTTGACAGTATTTAAAAGTGTACGGCCATCTTTAGGAATAAATGGCATACGAATACCTTCATATGGTTTTAATACACCTAGTAATGAACTCACAGTATTTAAAGGGACATTGCACTTCACAGCCCAGTTTGCTAAATTTTGAGTTAATGTAAAATCAGTTATATTATTACGATCATTTATATTTTCTTCAAGACATACACCATCATTACTTGAAAAGTGCTTATTGGATATATTAGTAAATCGTACAGATGGATCGGAATTTTCTAGGATAATAGTTTGACCTAGTTCTGGGAGATATTCAATATTATCTAATACTTCATTATTTAATTCAATACTATTATTAGATGATTCAGAACTTGATTTGGAACAACTTGGTTTATGTTTATAAATGAAGTCAATTTCTGATTGTACTCTCCTTCTTTTTGTTCCAAGACTTAATTGTTTTGAATACATAATACAAAGCACGGAGAAATAAGGAATTTGCTAGTAAAACCACCTGCAATATTAAATATAATAAAAAACATTATTATAGTTAACACTTTTATCAATTAAATATTGTAGTATAGGTAAAATATTATATAATATAAACATAGGTACATTTATAATTGGTACTAATATTAACATTAGAGCTCGCATTAGAGGTACCTATACATATTATGCATATTATATAAGAATAAGAATTATTAAGATTTAAATTAAATAAGAATATTTATATAATTTAATAATATGTAGCTGTTATATAGGTATCATAATTGTGGTAATATTACAATGTTATTATATATTTATACAATATATTATACTTAGGTATGATTCTAGTTCAAAAATGATATTAATTGTTTTTAAAAATTATGATTTAATTCTTTAAAGAGGTATAATATTTATAATAGGTAGGTAATAATATATATATGTAAGTATTTAAGTAATAATAAATAATATACATGATATTGAATAAGCACCTAACTTATAGTAATATTATAAATTTTTAATAAAAGATAGAAAAATGATTATTCTAAAATTTTCAGGAAGAATTATTTTTTTTGTTCAATAATAACCACCAATAACCCCCCCTTCTCCCGAGCACCATGAAATTCAGTTCTAAATACGCTACTGCCACTCTTATTAGTTATTATACAATCATTATATTTTTAATTAAATTGTATTTATTTTAGGAACATGTTCCAATGTTAGGAAGAATTTAGTAATATTACCTAGTTTGCAAGGGTGCCCATCAATTAAAATCTAGGGGGTGACAATATCTGATATCATAAAACAATAACTAGGAACCAACCAAATTGATTTTATTTAATAACAGAAGATAAATACAATAACATAGATAAACTATATACCTACCTATGTAATATGTCATGTATTATAATATCATCAGTAAAAATAGTTTATTATTAACAATAACAAAAAATTACAATCATTTCACATTTGTCTAAGGGGATAACATGTCACCTCCTTGCAGTGGCCCTGAACTTTATTTTAAAAGAGAGGGCAAGTAAAAAAGTTATACGGACCACCACCCCTGTTTCCATATGTGCTGCATAAGTACCTATACATTATAATAGCTTAGGAGTTAGGAACATAATTCATAAATAATTTATTGGGGTACCCAAAGAAACCCCCACGGCGCCACCCACCCGCCGCTACCTCCTTGCACCCCCTAATGGGCGCCCTTGCTAATTTGTCTATAATTTCATTAAATATTAGAAGTGTTAGACTACATTTTAATGAGTTAAGTTCCCCATTGAATTGTATTGATCATAAATTTTATATTATATTTTTAAGAGAAACTTGGCCTAGTGAATCTGATCATCACAGCACTATAACTTTTCTTTATTTGGGTATAATTCTTTATCTTCTCTCGGTGTTTTCAATAAAGCTGATAGTGTATTTATGTTTATAAAAGATTGCTATACTTTCTTAAATAAAAAAAAAAAAAAATGAGATCACCAAACTGTAATACAATTCAAATATTATTATCTATAAACAGTGATGTATTACTGGTATATTATATATCGTTCATCTGGCGATAATTAAGGTCTGTTCTTATAATATGGTTTTAATGACTATTTGAACAATACTTATGATAAACTAGCAGAATTAGGGGAAAAAATTGAGATTGTTAAACTTTATCAAAATTTGAATGGAAAAATTCTAGATGAACAAAAAAAAAAAAATGCCGTAGTATTCACGATAACCATACTAAAATCTGATGAATAAAAAAACAAACATTTGTGATAAAAAAGTATAGAAAATTAAGTACCTAATCAGTAAAAATAAGAAAAAAGCGAGCGGTTTGGGTTGTGCGTTGATCAATATATCAAACTTTGAACCCCCTTTTTACGACTTTAGGGTACCTACACAGTTTAAGAAATCCTTTCTTAGTGGGTGTCTACCTCATAGTTTCAGTGGCTCTGACTAGACAATGATGAATCAGTCAGGACAAGTTATTTTATTTATCATATAGATATATTAATTAAGTTATTTGTAACAGTAGGTATAAACATTAACATATTTTTTATTTATTCTTCAAGAAAATAATTGTCCATTATCTAACATGTTCGTCATGATATAATAAAATCTTGCAAGTGACTGAGAATTTAAATACTATGGTTGAATTTAATTCTATTTCGTCAGTTAATTATTATTTTACTAGAGGAATAGAAAATTCAAGATCTTATTTGATCATGTATTTGCAAAAGGTTTTAATAGTTCAGATCAAGGACGCCCATTGGGGGGGGAGTACTATATTGTAATATTATAACTATAAAACCACATTAAAAATGAACATAATAATTACCTGATCACTGAGCAGTAGTTGATTGATATTTATTAATTTAAAATAAGATCACGTGTTCTGTGAAGCCGCAAAGGTAAACGATGGAATTTTAAATATGAACACTAAATATTATATTTTAAACATAACCATACGTGTCTTGACAAGCGTAATGCTAATTGCTAAATATTTAATATAATATTATAAATTTAAAATTATCGTTGCATAGGTACCTACTTGCATGTAAGTTGTTATATTATAACGCACGAATGACATCGATTATGATCATATTATCGTCACTGGTCACTGTTCTCGTCAAACATCGATGAACAACGGTAAACAAAGTCACATAATAATATGACAAATGACAATATTTATAAATATAAAAATATTTTTGAATTTCTAAACTGATACCCTTCCCCCCCCGGACCACACACACACGCGCGCACACACGCGCACACACACACACACACACCCACAAACACAAACACACAAACACACACACACACACACACAAACACAAACACACAAACACACACACACACACACCGAACGCGATAGCTGCAGCCGACCGTCAGACGCGTTGGGAAAAAATAACGAATGTCAAAAATAACTTTCTGAAATTAATAATAATACCATAGACCAATAATAAACCAATGGACAGCGCTAAGAGAGAGAAGTAATAGATATAGAGTGAGCGAAAAAAGTGTATACGAGCCCGATTCACTATACTTCGTGTTCTTTCTCTCTTCTTTCTTTCTCAGTTAGGTATATGGTTATAAATTATAATATAATAATATAATATTATGATCGCCTGACGCCCAGAATCGGCGGCAGGGCGGAGTGACAGTGAACGCGCTGTCCATTATTTTAGTTTTGACTGTTTTGAGGTCTGTGAGTAATACCATTGCTTATAAATACTAGTATTTAAAATCAATGATAATGCGATGCAATGAAATATGAATAATGATGAATATTGAATAATAATTAATAATAATCAATGTACGAATGAGCTGGATATTCCACCCATAGTCCGTAGATGTATCTCTATGATGTCAGCGGATTATTTGTTTCTCTCTCTAACCCTAAGCCCACATCAAATTTGAGTTCAGCTGCTCCAGGCTTGGGACTCCCGATTCGGCGAGTCCTGTTGTTCGCTTTAATATGACAGTGAAATTACCTATGTCCTATTATATAAAATAATAAAATTCTTATATGAATATCTAACATTATCTGTGTTTATATATTTACGGATTTTCGATATTGTTAAGTGGTGAGTATTGAGTACCGTCGTACCGACATGGACCTAGTAGGTACCATGGTACTATTGGTACTGGGTAAAAAATGAGAAAATGTATAGAAAATTACAATTTAAAAATTATAAAAAGTCAACGCACAAACAAATTACACAGAAGTTTATAAGTATAAATTGTAGGTACCTACCCAAGCAGTAAATAACATAGTAAATAATGAGAAACAAAAAACTTAAAAACGTATTACCATTGATAATAATTATTAAATACCTACTATTTAGATTAAATTTAAGTTTCTTTTTGCAGCCATGAACCTATTCAATTAGTTCAAAATAGTTTTTTGTATGTTTGTATTGTTTGTATGTCGGATCTTTACGATACTTCAAGTTTTAATAAGTTATGCGTAGGTATACAATACAGTGTAAATTAAAAATGCTCATAACTCACATGAAAAATAAATTATCATTCATACCTACCTATGTACATTTGTTGAGTTGTACTACACTACAATCCAATAAGTTGTATGAACATGGCACGTTATTTAATAAAATTGTATAGTACCTAATTTAAGATGGCGTAATAAACATATTAGCCATTATGTATAAGGGATCAACTTAATTTTTTCGAGCGGAATGAGAAAAAATATTTATGTTTTATGGGTACACATATTTTATTAGTACGTACTGCGTAGCCATAGGCCATAAATATATTAAGAAATAGGTACACAACTATATAATAACAGTTGAGATATATTAAAGATCCATTGGTAGTTTGCACTTGGCACGGTCTTTTTTATAAGTATTTTTTAGGTATATTAAGTTAAGACTTTGACCAAAACTCGAAAATTTGCAAATTATATTGTAGTTAAAATTTATAAAATGTTCAATTTTTACAGCTTTGTAGCTATTGTATTCTTATGAAATATGAATAGATTATTTAAAACAAAGTTTTCCATAAATTGTTCATAGGTACTGTAATCAACAAATCTAAAAAAATATAAACACAGTTTTTTCCTGCAGACATTGTAAGTTCAAATTAGTCGGAAATCGGAATTAGATATTTAAATGGAGAATAATTATTTTTTTACCTAGTTATTTTCTTGTAATTTAAAATATTATTTGAGGGTATTGGAAACTTTTCAAATTCCAAGTTGGTAGGTATATTATTATTTTTTATACACACATTGACATTTTCAAATGCAATTTTTTCAGCAAATATTAATTTAACCTACTGTAGTAGGTACTAATGCTTAGTAGTAAAATAAATTACTTTAACCACAGTTATATCATAAAATATATATTTTTTGTATAGGTACGATGATTTAATATCTATTATTGAATCCAAATTAAACGCATTTACGCATCCATTACAGACGACAGTGACTACTCTAGACACCTAATGTACTTCAACACGATACCCACTGATCACTTTTTTTTATAATCATTCTAAGTTAAAAATTATCAAAACCACAATATTTTTCACACGATACTCTAGTTTAAAATTCATAAAATTTTTTATTTCATCACCAGAGCTTTGAAAATCTGATATAAGATTCCTCATGAGTTTATTTTCTAGAAATTAGGATAAAAATTTAGAGGAATGTTGCTATCATTTTTAAGTGCAACTGAAATTCAATTGTTCTAATTCTTAAGGCATTAGATATTCAAACGTATAATAACGATTAGGTTAGGGTAGATAATTTAAAAAAATATTTAAATAATTTTTAGGACACAAATAGACATTTATAAATGTGTTGATAAAAGAAATAGGCTCAGAAACAATTAATACTAAATACTTGAAATTTACACCATATTTTAATTTACCAATTCCTATACTTTATAAAATTTTCAAAATATTTTGACTAATTTTTAGCTGTTTGCGGACATTTTAAATTTTAAATTTTTTTAGATGTTTTTCTGTATTTATCAATATAATTGTATTTGTTGGGTCAATAAATGCCTAAATTTAATACAATGCTCCTGATATATATCTAGTTACAATAGTAATTGAAAAACATTAAAAACATATGTAATTTTTTTTATATGCATTTAAAGTAGAAGTAATATTTTTTCATTAACCCAAATAAGACATGAATCTGTGCAAGACAGTCAAGGATTATAAATAATAATAATACATTAATATTTAGTTACGTGGGTACGTGGTTATGTATAATAAATACTGTATGTAGTTGGTAATTGTAAAAATATCCTCGTAGGTATCAAGAAAAACGAGTGTCAAATTCTCACTGAACAATAAACATTATAATAAAGTTTAAGCAGATTTTTCTTTGTTAACATTTAAAATAACCTGGAAGTCCAAATACGTGTTTATTTTCATTTATCTTATTTGACCACTTTGAATTTTAAAGTTGGAAACTAGTTATTTATAATGACAACATTTTATGAGTTTTTTTTATGATAAACCTGGAAAATATTTTGTAATAACTCAACTCTTATTTATATTATTTGTTATTAGAATGTATATTCTAAAATGCATTTAATATTTATAACGATAGTAATAATAACGTTTGTTATTTAAACACTGTTATCACTGTTCAGTGTTTATTTGGTGTATGAAAAAAAGAAAATAACAATTGACTATTGTACATCACTCATCTAGAACAATAAACTATAGTAGTCTACTCTCTGCTACTCTATAATACTAATCTAGGTATTTAATTTTAAAAACTAATATTAATATGTGCATTAAAAAAAAAAAAAAGGTCTTGATATTTGTTACTTTATATTTTGTTTTAAATAAAAAAATAAATTCATACAAATGTTAACATGGTAAAAATAAACAATTTATAGGGAGTAACTAAATAGGTAGTAGGTACATTATGTAATTATTACAGAAAAAAATGAAATTTACAAAACAAAGTAAAAAAAGTTTATTCTTATCTTATGATTTTTGTTGATGAGATACCTATTTTTATTAGACAAAATTAATTTCTAAAAAATAATTTTAAAATGTTGACTAAACATTTAAAAATTAGTTTAGCGAATTTATTATAAAACTAGAATTACGTGGATAATCTCCAAGTTAAATTCAGGTTAATTTTGAAGTTGATAAAATCCAGGCAGGCTAATAAAAACACTCGATTTATTATATTTTTCATAATAACATATTAATGTTAACAACATTTGAAGAATTTGTATTAGAAATAGGGAAGGGTTTTTTGTGTAAAGCACAGATGAAGGTTTTATAGTGCAACGTAATAGCTAAGATAATTTATATATAAATAAAATGTATTTAGTTCATTATGAATTGGCTGAATATGGTCATGCAATTTTAAGCATATAAGTAAGTGCAATAAGTACATAAATCTGAATTTAAAAAAAATTACATGAGAATGTTGTTCATATACATTGAGCATAACTATATTATATAGAAATAATGTAATATTGTGTAATTTAGTAACAAAATAGTATAAATCTAAGATTAGAACATGCCATCAGTTCATACAAGCCTATAATCTAAATCAGTGATCTCCAACCTACGGCCCATTAAGCTTTTTGAACTGGCCCACTAAGCTAATTGATATTTAGAAAATACATTGGTTTAAACTTATAATTTTTTTTAATTATTAAAAGACAAGCAACTTCTCAATAAGTAACGTAACATTTTAAAATTTTTTCTTTGGAAAATTATGGAGCTAAAATAGTAAATAAATTATAAAATAATAAAATAATAAGATTGTACTTATCATTTCAGTTTTTGTAAATTGCCATTTAAATCAAATTTGAGTAAGATATTATTTAGAAATTATTAAAAATTGTAAAAATTGGTGCATTTTTTAAGTCATTACCTTTCCACCCTTTTCTTAAGCAAATTCGGCATGCCGTAAAAAAAAAAGATTGGAGACCCCTGACCAAGATCATAGTTATCTAACATTGTATTCTTAATATAATTTATAAATTATATTTATTTTTATTGAATACATTTAAAAGGCAATTGTAAACTCTCCCAATTTTAATGACCTATAAACTCTCCCGGGTCTACTCCAGTACTACCTGACAGGTACATCTAAACTCTCCAGGGTCTGTAATAACTTTGCTTATACATTATAATTTAATGTTTATAATAATATGAACATAAAAAATTTAAAAATTTAAAATATTATTTAAATTATACCATTATAGTAAATAATAAAAATAAAAATAGCTTATATCATTGAGTATAGATACAATATCAATGCTTATATCAATTTATTTTCCGATGATTTTAAAACAACTCTAAAGAGCTAAAATATTTCTTTTAGGTAAATATTTATTTAACAAATTTATGGGAAAATGTTATAGCGAATACTGAATATAATATTGACCTGGGAGAGTTTATATATTTCCATCGGGTAAATATAATGTTGAGCCACGAAAGTTTACTAGTTTTAAAAATCGGGAAAGTTTACCATACCCAATTTAAATCCCTGAAAAAGTATCTTATAGCTATGGTTTTTTGACATATTCAAAATTTTTAGACAAAATGGTTGGCGAAAAAGAAACTTGCAAGCTACTTAATATTACAAATAATAAATTAACTGATAAGTAATAATAATTTAAAAAAATATTTTTACATTGTTGAATATTTGTGTAAATATATTATAAAAAACTAATAAAAGTTGAATACTCATAAATAATAGTAATAGCATTCAATATGGTTATAAATAAATAATAATTAAATATGCATAGTTATTATATTATATTATAATACAATAAACGATAATAAGAATAATGAATTAATAAAAAATTACTTAGTAATCAAACAGACCAGTCTTAAAATGTTTAATTAATATAACAGTCGGTAACATTGGCCAATATAAATATGAGGAATTTTCATACAGTTATGATGAGTTAAAATCATTGTACGCTTGTGTTTTATCATCAGCTAGTGACGGATCTGAAGAAGAGTGAGGTATTCCTTTTATTTTTGAATCGTCTGAACTACTAGTATCTTCTCTATAAGCATCTCTGGAAGATCTGGGTGGTACATTTAAAGAAGATTCTAGCGAAGAATTTGAAGATGTGAATTTTGAAGTTTGTAATTTCAATCTAAACAATTCAATAAAAGTTGATTTAGAAAAATGTATTAACTAATACACATAATAATGATAATTAAACAATTTAATTAATAATTTCATAATGTAATAAATTAGTGCTTTAAATATTTTATAAATATTATTCTTTTACTTATTATCTGTTAAAGTAAATAAATAAGATACATTTTCTCCAAAAATATTTTTTTAACCAATTTAATAGAACATATTAATTAAGATATCACCATTTGAAATTTTGATAAATCATAATACAAGGAAGTTTATGTATAGCCATATAGGCTGGTGAAAACAAAAATTATTTTCTTTGAATACTGGAGAGATTAATAATATAGTTAATTTAAATTATTTGTAAATTAAGATGGCATTGTCTTTGTCATACATACACACAACATAGCAAATCTACGTAACAAATTTTTACTACAGTTTATTTACAGTTGATATTAGAGCGAATTTACTCATGATCAATTTTTTAGAAAACAATATAAACTGTGCCTCAATAAAGATATTTTTTCATATTTTTGCTAAAGCACAGTTAATATTAATATTATTATTACTGTTTATTATTATTATATATTAATTAGAATATTGCTTTCTAAAAATGTCATCAAGAGTAATTTTTTTCTAATATCAACTATAAATAAACTATAGTGAGTATCCAGTACATAGATTTGATGTTTAGACAGAGGTAACACATGTAGATATGACATCCTCTTAACACTTGAAATACAACCATAATATTTCTTGGTATTTAGTATTTAGATTATTATGTATCAATATAATAAATATTTATTACTTAAAAATATATTCATAATTAGGGAAACCTAATTATGACCTGCTCTTATAACAGTAGAAAAAACATAGACGTACAAACTTGATTGTGGTTGTAACATAACTAAACAATTGTATAAGGTTGTACGCAAGTCATTAGTACTATAACCATTGTACCATCGAAGTTGGGCAATATTTTTGTTCAGTAAATAAACAGCATAATTAAATTCTAATCGAGCTTTAGCACGACCAAACAAAGGAAATCTGAAAATAAAATAATTAGTTAAAATATACATATATTTTATTCCTTAAACTTACAGTCGTTCTCTATCCTGTATATCTAATGAAATATGATCAATAATTTTACTACGTGATCCTATGTGGTTAATAGGGTATCTCAATGGAATATTTAGAAAGTAGGAAATCATAAGAATTAAATGGGCAACGTAACCCAGACCAATACTCAATTGAATATCACTGCAGCCATCAAAGTTTTCTGAATTTGGAAGATGAACATCACATATTGATATATTTTCGTTAACCTAGAATAGTGAAAAATAATTTAAATATTTGTTTATGTTGAAAAAACCTTAGTGTAAAAAAATAGTTAATTATTAGTCCAGCACAATACATAATAATATAATTAATTGGCCATGGTTATAGATAATCAACAAATTGTAATATCATTAATTATTATCATATTTTTGTACATATTTAGTGTGAAAAAATAGATAGTTAATAATATAAAGCTAGTGGCCAAAAAGACCTTGTCACTGAACCCAAGTTAAATACAAAAAAAAATAAATATTAATAGAAACAAAATATGATCTACTTATCGTACTAAAATATTACCTGTTTACAACTAAATAAAAATATAATTTGTTAAAATAAAAGATTTTGCAATAATACACTAAATGTTATTTTTATATTAAAATACATAATATGTGGGAAATTTGGTTAGTTAAAAAAATTTTCTAATTTAAAAGTAATCAAGAAAGAAAAAATATAGTTAAAAATTATAAAAACATAGCAAAAACCATTTTGCGCCGGAAAGAACCACTCAAGCTGTAATTCAAGTTAAGCAACCAAATTTTTACCCAATAAATAGGAGATTATTTACAGTGCACCGTTGTTTTTATTTTTTTTATATTAGAATTCAAAAAAAAATTATTCAAGTTTGAAAAAAAAAAAATAATGAATATTTAATCAATAAGAACTTTTTTTGTATTTGTGATAAAAAAATTAAAAACACCATTGCACAGTAAATTTCTCTTCTTTATAGTGTGAAAATTTGGTTGCTTAGTTTGGATTACAACTTGAATGATTCATTCTCACGCAAAACAGTTTTTGCAATGTCTTACATAATTTAATGTTTTAAAAAATTGAATTTCTGAATAAGTTATTTATTTAGAAATAAAAATAAAAATCAGTTAATTATTTAGAAATAAAAATAATAATATATGTAAAATTATAAAATCTTATTTATTTAAATTAGTTCCTATAGTAAATAAAAAAATCATATAGTGTGACTTGATTTTGATCCTGATTAATCTATACAGAAATATGTCATAATTAACTTCATATTAACATCATGGTAGATAGATTAACCAATTGTTAATCTTCAAAAATTAAAGTATAAGTTTTATAACATGGATGTATATCAAACGTGTATGATAAAGGCTCAAACATTCAATAAAATACTAAAATTTTGCATTAAATAAGTGGTAAAAATATACATAGAATTTGATTTATATAATTGATAAAATCAAATGAGAGTACAAATTACAAAATTTAAATTAAAATCATTTAATTGATTTTTTGCACTAGTATTTAATATTCCTTTTATTTTATTTGCAAATATGTATCTTGCAATGTATCAAGCAAATATATTTTTAATTCCTTATTATTTAAACTACTCATAAAAAATCTAAAAGAAATACATAATATACATTATGATATGAATGTTATAACTTTTAAAAATTATTTCTGTTCAGGTACTAAACAGTTTACAAAAGAATTTTCTTTTTTGTTGAAGTTTATATAAATAAAATTGTCTTATAGATTAAAATTTCTATCTGTCCACAATTATATAGTAAATAGTTCTTTACCTCTGTTATTGGATATATAAAATTAAGTTCTGAAACAAGTTGTTTTTTCCGATAAATGAGTTGACTATTTAATGCGGACAATGTGTCAACTGAGTTAGATGTATTACTCAATTGTTTTAGTTGATGGATGTCAATGCAAAGTGTTTCGTTCATTTCAATTAGCTTGCTGTCTAGTTATTACACAATAACAAAGGAAATTTAAATATATTAGTTTATATAAGTTCTATATTATTAATAGTAATAGTTACCAAATATATATTTCACGATACACAAAATTACAATAGTAATAGATTTTTTTTTTTAATTTGGGTTTTTAAATATTATTATTAGTTTACTTTTTCATCATGAGTTTTTAAAATTCTCAACAAAGCAAAAATGAAACATTGCTATATTAAAAAAAATAATGCTACCAGTAAATGAACAAAATATATGAACAGAGTATTTTTACAATATAAATTTGAAATTGAGTAAGTAGGTATAGTAAATAAATTTTTTATTTCTGGGAATAATTTTTTTCTCCGAGGAGCCATAATTATATAACTATTATACAACATAATTTAATTTAATAACTTTGAAGTTTGAACTTCAAATTACCTGAACTGGCTGAACTAATTAAGCATGTTATGTTACTTTAGACAATTTTTATTTAATATTTATATATTACACCATATATTAAATAATGACTGTTAGTATAAAATTATGATATTGTAATCATAACTATTCATATTTGTTATATATTTATCAAGTATGAATGTTGTAATAATGATTATTTGACAACCTTAATTTTTCTTATTTTCTTTGGTCCCTCAAGCCTTTTGGTTACTATAGATAATAACTAAAAATAATATTAAAGTATAAAATAGTCGTTTACAACATGATATAAATAAGTTTTATCCATTTCATGAAAAGCTCATAAAGTTATCCATAGTGTGCAGTAAAACATAATTTTCACAATATGATCCAATCTAACATCATGGAAATAACAATTTCACTTAGCTAATTGATGCGAGATAAGTATAGTATTTTTGTTATCTTATTTCGTGTAGTATATCAGAAAAATATTGTATAAAATATAAAAAACATATTTTAAATGAAAAATAGTGCAATTTAAGAATATTAAAAACAGTTTACTTTACATAATATATAATTTAAGTTTTGAATAAACTAATCCAAATAATACGTATTATATATGTCCAATGTCTATAGCTCATTAACTTATAATACATATATTAAATACATATGATAATATTAATTGAAGATGAACTTACTTTTTTTACAATTTGCATCATAAAATGTTTTACTAGTTAGTGTTTTATTGCGAAGAATGACAATTTTACGAGATTTTTCTTGACATAGCAACAGTACTCTAAATTTTACCAGTTCAATTTCTTTTCTCCTACATAGAATACTCTGACGAGATGGTTTTTGTCCAATTTCTTTGTTCATCAATCTACGTATTGTAGCACTTTGATGTCTTCCAGTTCGATTTTCGTTCAAACCAATTTCACCTTGAACTACTTTTTCTTTTAATAAAGTTGCTGCTTCTCTTTGTTTACTAGTTACTCGTTGAATATTATGCATCCTATAAAAAATGTAACATAAATTAAAATTGTAAAATTGTTAACTTTTATTGAATAGTACCTTGTCAGTTGTATAAGCGTACCACTTAATCTAACATCTTTTACAGGTAAAGTAAGATGAGTAATGCGAGCTAAAGTAGGCTGATCTTCAGCAATGCAATGTGGAGCAGTATAATTTCCTCCAGTCATACAAAATACTAAAGAATTAGAATGAAACATTTTTGGATTTAATGACATTGGAGTTATATACAAAAGACCACTTAGTTCAATGCCCCAAACAAACAAAACTTTTGTTTGGTCATCTGTAGTTCTCCACAATCGTATTACAACCGCTGTAAAGTTACAAATTTATTTTAATATAGTATAACATAATTCAATAATAATTATTAAATTAACATATTTAATTAAAATTCTATCTCTTGAAGAAACATTAAAATATAATACAACATATTTGTTTAAATACTTAGATACAATTAATGTTAGTCATAATACTAAACAACAAAGTAAAATATAAAATTATCAAAATATATTTGGACTAACAATATAATTTTATGCTTTTTCAATCAACTCTTGAATTGCATATCATTCAAATGGGCTATTCCATGTATTAATTTAATTGTACCTACCAGTGGCGGCGCCAGATATTTTTTATTGAGGGGGGATAAGGGGCCAATTATGGTGGGGCATTTATGTAACGCTACCCGATCACCTATTAATTTAATTATATCATATATTCAGAAAGAATTACTAAAAATGTTTTGGGTATAATATGCTATATTTCTAAATAATTAAAATAAAAAAATAATTAAATAATTAATTAATAAAATGTCTTCATTTACTGACATATTTTTAACATAATGGAATCCAAAGTAGGTATAAGGTATAACCTAAAGTACTTATAAAATGTTTTAAATAAACTTGTAACAAGGTTATATAACTTGTGATCTACGAATGTGTTATATGCACATTAATATTTTATACCCATTGCAATTAAACAAATACAGAGTCACAGAGAGGGCTTTTTAAGTATCTAAATAACAACATATTGGTATTACCTATTAAAAATCAATAAATGCAATTTATGATGTTAGCATTATTTATTCAATTTAATTATTATGATTATATATTAATATCGACATACCATTAGTTATTAGTATTAAATGAATATAAATAATTACAAATTATTAGGATAGTATTATATTATATATTATAGTATTTAATAAAATGAATTTTCAGATTAGATTAAAATGTTCAACATTAAATTGGGGCAAAGAGGGTCAAAATCAAATGTTGGGGGGAAACTTGCCCACCCTGGCCATAGTGTAGTGCCACCCTTGGCACCTACCTATATTGTATATTTTTATTATTTTTTTAAATCTACAGTACAAATATTAAGTTACAGGGTAGGTTTGAAGTTAATATATTAGTAAATTAATTACATTTTTGAAATAGGCATTTTAATTTGTTTCAATAACTGTTTTAATTACTTACCTACAACTCGAGATATTTAATTAATTTTTTAAATATTGATAAAATATTCTATATAAATACAGCCTAAATTGGGTAATTGTAATATTAGTTGTGATTAAGTTATATATTAGGTTTGAATAATTTTTTATGAATCACAATTGAAAATTGTATTTTTTTACTAAGACAGATGTACATTTAAGCAAAATCTTTCTTAGTGAAACTATATTAGACCCAAATATATATGATGGTTTAATACTTCAATTAAATATAATTAATTTATTAAATTATTATAATATAAGATTATGATTGAATAGTTCAATGTTAATTGTACGTTAATTAATTCTGTTATCATTGGAAAAATTGGTAAATATTATATAACTTATAGATATACATTAAATTATAGTTGTAATAAAATTAAAATATAATAGTTTAATACAACCAAGTATCTAAATACCTTTAGCAGATCCAATTGAACTACAAATATCCATTTTTGTCCATTTTGGGTTACGGCCGCTAACTTTTTCACTAGTATACAAAGGAGCACACATTGTTGTTAAATGCAATGTGTAATAATAGGAAGTTGTATTAGCAGTACATTCTGGATCATCACAAAGATTGTAACCATTGATTTGAATTAAATTTCTGAGCCTTTGCTAAAAATTAAAAAATATTGATAACAAAATCTGGGTTTTCAATGAAATATCGAATGTAATTAATACTTGTTGAGTAACAAAAGGCACCCATTCTTGAGAACGGATGGTTTCAGATTTTAACATCGTTATTTTCATTCCGATGTGTACAATTCACCATACCTAAAACAGTTATAATAAATAAACTACCGAGGTATGTTTCACAACCAACAAATTATGTAGCAAACAATAATTCATTTGTGTCAAATTAAAATTTATATTATATCAAAACTAAAGTGAATAAAAAATATAAGACCAACACCTTCAATGTCTGGAAGGCTTAGCCTTGCTAATATTTGGTTAATTAAATATACCAATAGTGTGTAACATCTTGATGAAATAATAATTTTTAAGCTCACCTTCTGTCGCCCACTGAGTCATTGAAATTCTATAAAACTTGATTTATTTATTTGATGACGGACTATTTGGTTTTACGACTCGATATAAATAGTTTTGAACATTTAACGGAAAACATACTTAAAAAAAAATATGGATGTTGGGCGAAAATATATATTATTAATTAATTACCTACATAACCGACTATTTAGTATTGACATAAGTTTTTTTATGTTATCATTGAATGATAACCATTATCAATTTTATGATATTATTGCACAGTTAATCAAATTATATAGCATGGAGGCACGGACTAAGATTAAGTACGTGCATGGAGGTAAACTATTGATCGATCAATATAATGTTATTTTATTATTATTTATTTATTATATTAATAATTACTATAGTTTATAATCATAACGAAGACTTGATGTTCTATAGTTTCTTATGATTATTATTTATAGTAATATTTATTATTATAATATAACTTATAAGACGTAATTGTAAAATTATTATAAATACCTATCACTTCATGTTTACTACGTACCTATAAATTACCTACCTAGTCCATACTTGTACCTACCAATGATTAGAGTTTAAATAGTATTTATAATCAATAGGTAGTTGCCACTAGTTGGTAACTATTAGTAGTACACTAATACAGTCTTACTTAACAGGGGCGTAATTAGGGGGGATTAGGGAGATAGACCTCCCTCCCAAAAAAAACTTTTTTTTTACTGCTAACATTTTGATGAAAATATTGATAATGGCCATTCATGTTTGCCAAAAACGTGTATACCCCCAAACCAAATTCCTTATTACTCCACTGTTACTTAAGCTGTAAAGTTCGTATTGCCTAATAAAATATAGTATTCTTGCACAATGCTACCTAACATAAAATACTACCTACCCACCAAAAATCTGTAGTCGTGCAGTATTTGTATGCTACCTACAGGAAAATATGACATACCTACCTAATCTTCTATGTGTTATACTGTTATATTTGTATTTCATTTTATTACTGGAAAGTACCTGTGGCTTACTGAGTTAATAAACAACATATTATACAGTATCGTCGGTAGGTCGTCGGTCATACAATACTATAATAGCTAAATATAAATTATACATACTGGTAAATATCTGGTAAATATCCATCAAGCCCTATAATAACTTACTTTTAGTTAATAAATTATTTTAGTTTGTGTTCTGTCCTTCATTTTCTTTATCATCGAATCTTTAAATATATTTATCACATTTATTTTTCATAAGAATTTTAGATTCTGAGTAGAACGATGAATATATTGATTTTACAATGATGTGTGTTTTTTTTTAAATTTTTTTTTGTGTCTTTGTACACGATAAGTAGTCGAAATAATGCTTCGATTTTCAACTTCAGTATCTTGTTCGATTGGAAAGTGAATCTAGTTGGTGCATTCGGGAGGTCAAATTTTAAAATTCATAATAATTTTCACAAGCGCCGGGATTAAACACATAAAAATTAAGGAATAACGGGAATTTTTACGTAAAAATCGATTTTGGTTTTTGGTGTAACTCTAAAACAAATTAACGTATATACATAAAATGTTCACTGGTTGTTTATATTTGCATTTTCTATACACGATAACATTTTTAAAATATTATGATTTGTTTTGAACTGTTTAGGGACATTTTCATTTTCCATTTTTTTTTTAGCTTTTTTTCTAAAAATATCAATAAAATTTTATTTGTTGGTTAAAAAAGCTTGAAAATTTAATAGAAGGCTCCTAGTATATTATTTTAAAGGGACAGATGAAAAATATTAAAAATCCTTGGTGACAATTTTTTTATAAACATTTAAAGTTCAAAAATTGACAAATTATGGAAAAAATCACGAAAATTAGCAAATTATTTTGAGTTAAGAATTCGTAAAAATTTTTCTTTTTAAATCTAAGATTTGAAAATGTAATACAAGATTACTCATAAGTTTGTCTACCTTTATCAATAAAAAAATCTCTACCGAAAAGTCAAATTAAATTTTTATGAGCGTTTGACATTCAAATTTTTACAACATTGGATATTCACTCGATTTCTGATGTAGCGATTTCCTTATATTGTTGTAATTCAAAAACGAGTAACTGTAGATACATGAAAATTTCACTGAATGTTTATATTAGCATTTCCTATACACCATACAATTTTGAAAATATTTTGACTCTTTTTGAGCTGTTTATGGACATTTTCAGTTTTCAAGTTTTTTAGTTTTTTTTTTCTATAAATATCAATAAAGTTTTATCTGTTGGGCCAAAAAGTGTAAAAATTTAATATAAGGCTCCTGATATATTATTACAATAGCAATTGAATAATATTAAAAATACATAGGCACAGTTTTTTTTATAAGCATTTACAGATCGAATTTTGACAAAATTTATCAAAATCTCGAAAATTATCAATCATTGTAATTAATAAATTACAAAATGTTCAGTTTTTATAGCTAAGGATTGTAGATTTAAAACAAAGGTTCTCATAAATAGTTCATACTGTAACCAAAAAATCTAAAAAATATATGAACACAGTTATTTTTTACAGACATTTTAAATTCAAATTTGGACGAAATTACATATTAAAAAACCTAGAATAACTATTTTAGTTATTTTGTTGTGATTGAATAATATTATACGTGGGTACTTGAAACTTCTAAAGTGTACTATTATATAACTATGATAGTATCACGGTTTTTTTTTTTTATGTATAACGCGTTATAACTTATAAGTACCTAATGGATATTGTGATATACTGATATGATTAATTTAGAATTTATTATAGGTAGGTACCTATTATAGGTCAATTTTTTGTTTAATACCATAGATATGTATATAATATATATACTTATATACCTGGACTGACATACCGTCTCCGCTCAGAATCGTTTTTCTCATACAATAATATTATATCGTTGAATTCAAATTTAATATCATCCATTTTACAGTGACCCACTTGTAATCTACTGTACAGCAGAGCGACACCCACTTGTCCACTTTTTTTTTTTTAGCTTTTTTTCTAAAAATATCAATAACATTTTATTTGTTGGTTAAAAAAGCTTGAAAATTTAATAGAAGGCTCCTAGTATATTATTTCAAAGGGACAGATGAAAATATATACTAAAAATCCTTAGTCACAGTTTTTTTTTATAAGCATAAAAAGCACGAAAATTAGCAAATTATTTTGAGTTAAGAATTCGTAAAAAATTTTCTTTTAAATCTAAGATTTTAAAATGTAATACAAGATTCCTTATAAGAATATCTACCTTTATCAAAAAGAAAAATGTCTACAAGAAATTCGAATTAAATTTTTATGATCGTTTGAAATTCAAATTTTTACAACATTGGATATTCACTCGATTAATGATTTCTCATGTAGCGGTTTTAATAATTTGATGTAATTCAAAAACGAATAACCGTAGACACTTGATTTTTATATCATGTTTATTTTATCAATTCCTATACCGTATACGGTGACTGCTGAGATATACTTGATGAAATGTTTACTTTTTTTGAGCTGTTTACGGACAATTTAAAATTTCAAGTTTTTAGTTTTTTTTCCTATAAACATCAATAAAATTTTATTTTTTGGGCCAAAAAGCGTCAAAACTTTCATCTTTTATAGCTAAGGATTGAAAACGTACAACTATAGGTTCTACTTAAGTAAGTTATTCGGTAACCAAAAAATCTCAAAAATATAAAAACAGTTTTTTTTTTATAGTAGTTATTTTATGTTCAAATTTGGAGGAAATTATATATTAAATAACCAAGAATAACGATTTTAGTTATTTTGTTGTAGTTTTATAATATTTTTCAACTTACCGGCTACCGTATTAATAATAAGTAATAAAAATATAAATATAATAATATTATAAAATATCCACACTGACAAACCGTTTTCGCTTAGAATCGTTTTTCGTATACAATGATATTATATCATTAAATTCAAATTTAATACCATCCATTGACAGTGACAGTGACCGCTATCACACAGTGACCCACTTGTAACCTGATGTACAGCAGAGCAACATCCACTTCCCCACCTTTCTTTTTGCGCATTTGAAGTTCAAATCTTGACAAAATACGTCAAAATCACAAACATTTTCAAATTATTTTGAGTTTGAAATGTATAAACATTTTTCTTTTTAAATCTAATATTTTAAAATGTAAATACAATATTCCTTATAAGTTTGTCTACCTTTATAAAAAAAAAATGTCTACAAGAACGTCAAATTAAATTTAGGCACCTAGAGTTTTTTTCTTGGTAAGGGGGGGGGGGGGTTGAAAATTAATTGTTGACAAATTTTATCTGAAAATGATTTATTAGGTAATCAACATCTTTTATTATTTAACGATTTTTGAGGGAGGGGATACAACCCCCGCCCCTCTAAATAGGCTACTGAATGTAGGTAATCTTGAATGTTGACGACGTACAGAATAAGAAAAATACGTAATTTATAATTTAGGTTTAAACAAGAATAATTTTTATAAGTATCTAGATACATGAATAGTATCCAAATAAAATTCAAATACAAAACAGTGGGTAAGTATAGGTATAGGTATTCGATCTGCAGTACAGTAAATGTCAAGTGTATACCTCGTCAGTGTAATTGATGTGTTATATTTTAAATACGTAAAAAGATTCTGAGCGGAAACGTAGACCTTACGTCAGTCTTATTAGTTATTAGTAGGTAACTATTATAGTAAGTATCTACTTTCATTTTATTAAACATTTATGTTTCTATT